GCCTTCTGGTTAGCAGTCAAATGCCTTAGGCACTATGCCATCAGAGCTCCCAATACAGCAGCTGACGTACACTTTGTCTCATGACATTGACTGCAATTTCCTACAATGCAACAGCTCCCCTCCTACTTCCCCTCCATAGTTACCTCTTCCCTGTGTCCTTCCCTCTTGTACCCTCAAGCTGTCTTGTACCCTCAAGCTGTCTCCCTGTGCATACACAACCCTTCTATTCTCCCATGACTGATCTCTCCAAGGAGTGTATCTACCTAATATAAATGTTCAGCTCATATGCCTGTCCCTTGTTTGGCTAGAAGCCACAGGAGTGGGTTCAGTTCCAGACCTGAAGGGCAGCGAGGGGCCATAGTCTCAGTGGTTCCATCAGGCTCTACCAGACCAGCAAATCTGGTCCTTTTTTTAAAATGATTTTGAGTTTTGTTCCACAAAGTCAATTTCTTTAAAAAAATCAGATGAAGATATTTTCTAATGTCAATCTCTACAAAATAAAACAGAACCTTGGAAAATCATTGTGTCCTAACAGGCAATGTTATAGATTTGAGCTTTACCTAGGAAAATGTCAGAAGGAGGTATTTGTAAAAGAGAAAAACAGAAGAGGATGACAGGTATGAACAAATGTCTGAAATATGAACTAAACACATTTTCAAAGGAGGAACAGCTCTGGCTGTTAAACTCAAGTCTCCATCTGATGAACTGTTAGCAGTCCTATGACTGCCTTCTCCAGTTATCCAGTCTGTAGTAAGGACAGGTGCTCACAGGCAGCCAGACACTGCTTTGAATGGTAGAATGCTAGAGCAATCTCTTTGAACTTCATTAGCATCTTCAGGGATGAAGGCTCCATCAGATGAAGACCCATATATTCAACTATTCAATATCTCCATGTCAAATTAAACTCCAAAACAGCACTGATAATCTGATTCCCCCAACCTGAGTCTCTCATCTATTCCTTACCTTAGCAAATGGTACTGTGCAACTGCACTAACCAAACTATGTGACACTGTTGTCACCTCATTCTCAACTCCCAATATTTAATCAGTTAACCACACCCTATCTATTCCACATCTAAACATTATCGGTTGGGCAATCCTACTTCCGTAGTGATACTGCCTCGGAAACCCAAGGAGGGGTCGCTATGAGTCGGGGCCGACTCGACGGCAAACAACAACAACAACAAACATTATCTTGTATCCACCCACTTCTCTTCAACTCCACTTGCTACTAACCTAGCCCAACATGTCATCACTTCTTAACTACTATAATAGTCTCCTGTTTTTCCTGCATCTTCTCTGTAGTCTTCCAAACTGATCACCATACAATAGGCAGAGTGACATTTTCAAGAGACCTATCTCATTATTCACGCTTTCATTCAGAAGCATGGCTTTCCAATGTGCTTAAATAAGTAACAATCCTTCATATGTCCTACAAGGCATGATCTGACCTCTAGCTTCTCTACAGCTTCATCTTACATCATACTCCCCTCACTGTCCTCACTCTGCTCCAGACATACTGATATTGTGTTTCACAGATGAGCTGTGTGAATCCACATTTAAATCCTGAAGGTGAGTTATCAGGTCCTTTTGATTTCCTGTCTTGCTCAATTTTTGTCACCAACCTGAAAAGAACCACCTACATTATTTCTTCCCACTCCACATCTGAGGGACCTCCCCAACCCAAGCCTAGTTAATGTCTTCTTGGGCTCTGTGCAATGTCACAGAGCCTAAAATCTCAGACTAGATTATGTCCCCTGCTTGTATGTTTGGTAACAGTTACCACATCTATGATTTTTATTCAAAGTCAGCCTACTCTGTTAGACTGGAAGTTCCAGAAAGCAGAAAAGTATCTTTTCAACAATGGGTCTCTAGAGTCTAGTACATAGTGACTGGCATATAGCACACACTCAAATAGTTTCTGAATACTGAATAAGCACTGGGTATTTATTTTTTTAATGAAATTCTGACAAGGTATTTTTGCTTTTACTTCATAAAAAGTCTCATTGTTTTCATTCTAGAGACTAATTTTAATACAGGATACCACAGGACTTCAGAACAATCTATGCCTCACTTTCAAAATACACCATTTTGGTAAGATTTCCTCAAAAATAATGTAACAGAAAGTGTGTATGTACAAAAGTGTATGTACAATGAAGCTAGATCACATGACAAAATATAGTATCCATGAGGTCTAACAGATCTGTAACTATGAAAACAAGGTCCCTGTCTTCAGGGACACTGTCAATTTCATAAAAGTGAAATTAGTCCCTCTTTTGTTATTGGGAGCTTGTCATATAAGATCTTATACCTACTGTAGCTAAGTACTATAAAGCAGGGATAGACAAACTACAGTCTTAAACCAAATCTTGGCTATCTCCAAGTTTTACAACTAAAGTTTTATTTGAGCACAGCCATTTGTTTACATTTTCTCTACAGTTGCTTTCACACTCCCAAGAGTAGAACTGAACAGTTGCAAAAGTAACTACAAAGCCTGCAAAACCCAAATTATTTACTACCTAGCCTTTACAGAGACACCTGAAGGATACTAACATGAACAGGATGATTTTCAAATGTTACAAAATATAGAAGAGAGTTCCTCGAGGTTGAGGTTCAGGAATGCAGGCTGGAATTCTATTACAGAAGGCACATCACATCCTCCAACCATTTACTCCATACCCAATTAAGATGCTACCACATTCTTGAGTACATAAAAGACAATACTCCAAATGTAGAAATAAATAAAATTAGGAAACAAACTAGCATGTGAAACAACAAAGATTATCATCTCAATCTAGGCAAAGCCTGAATTTCCAGAAGGTCACGAACAGGATAAAAAGATGCCTTAGAATAAAGCCAAAACTGCTACCAGCAAGCGGTTCAGGAAATGCTTCACAGAGCCGAAAAAATCTGGGGCTATTTTTCTCTTCAGTTTTCTGATTCCTGTATGTAGAAAACAAGGTCTAAAAAAAAAATCTTAATAATTATGTTATAATATATTTATAACTCTGAAGATTTTGGCTACTTCCTGTAAATTTACTAAAACTAGGATTCTAGCATCAACCAGTGCTACACATCAGGACCTTATTCAAGGATTCCCAAGCTGTTGCAGGAGGACAGAGCAGGGATTACTGCCTGCCTAAGGAGACACCATACCACCCTCAGGGCAAAAAGCAGAGCGCAAAGAAGGTTTGACCAAATGACTTTCATCAAACTAAATAAAAACCAAAATCAAAATTCTTTAATGGGGTTGGATTTTTCCCAATCCTGCTCCTCCTCTTTCAATGTTCCCTATTTCTGAGCCACCATCATCCCTATCCCCAGCCTCAAACTCAGTTATCACTGAGTGCCCAGTCTCCCTTCTCTTTCATCTCTAATCATCTGCTAATTTTCTTCAATCAATTCTCTATTCTCCATGCAAGAAAAACAAACAAAATTAACAAAACAGGCAACTAAAGGTAATTAACTTACCTACTTCAGTGAGTTGATGTCTTTCTAGTGTAATTTTCTTGGGATCTTTAATAAAATGAAAAGGCTGTATTTTTATTCCTTCAATTTGAGGGAATAAAATAGCAAAACCAGATTCTCCAATTTCTATTTCCTGAGGGCGATTGCTGCCTGATCCCATTGGAGTCACTAGGAAAAAAGTTGAAATTTTGTGAACATACTCAATTAAAAAACTGAAGCTCCATTTTGTAACACTGCTAATTAACCAGTTCACCTAGATAAATACAGTAAGTCATTAAGATAATTACCAAGCTAACAGGCCACTCTCTGAATGAAAGTTTTTCAGCTTTGAAATATTTAAGAGTGCAATATCATGATATTTACAACTTACTTCCAAATGGTTCAGGAAGAAATGCTTTTATAAACAAAGAGTGAAAAAGAAAATGCTGCAAATTTTCTTTAAATTGGTGAATTTAGATAAAGGGTACGGATAAAGGATACATGGAGACTTCTTGTACTAGTCTACTATCCTTTCAATTTTTCTACAGGCTTCAAGTTTTTCAAACTTAAGAGCTAGCAGTAGTAAATGCCATTCATGACGGCAATTCTACTTCAAAAAATTTATCTTAAAAATGTTGACAATTATATAAATTATATACATATACCAGTACTTTTTATCATAGAATTCTCAGTAGTAAATCAAAGGAAAACAACCCTACCAACGATATTTAGTTACATTTATGCAATAGAAGACAGCTATTATGAATAGCAACAGATGTATACTTACTTATTGACAGGAAAACACGTATACTATGTTGTTAAGATTTTTAATTCTTGGTGTTGTTGAGAATATACACAACAACACATACACAAATTCAACAGTTTCTACATGTATAATTGACACTGATTACATTCGTCAAGTTGTACAACCATTCTCACACCCTGCTCTTCTGAGTTGTTCTTCCCTAATTAACACAAACAGACTTACCCACTAAGGCTCCTGTCTAATCTTTGAGTAGATGTTGTCAATTTGATCAAGGCAGACTTTTTTCATTAAACAAAAACAACAACAAAACACCAAACTCACTGCTGTCGAGTCAATTCCCACTCATAGTGACCCCTCCTTGGTTTTCTGAGGTTGTATCTCTATGGAAGTAGATTGCCCAGTCTTCCTTCCCAGGAGTGGCTAGTGGGTTTGAACCGCCAGCCTTCTGGTTAGCAGTCAGATGTCTTAGGCACTATGCCACCATAGCTCCTTCCCCCCACCACACACACACACACACACTAGTTAAGCTAAACTACTGTTTAGTTTTTAAGATTTCAGGGGATATTTTTGTTGAAGGTTTAAAGATTATCTCAGAGGAATAGCTTCAGGGGTCCATCCACTAACCACAGCTCCAGTCTGGAGTTCATGTTTGTTCTGCATTTCCCCTCTTTTGATCAGAATTCTGCTATGGAATCATTGTTCACAATGTTCAATAATGATAGCTGGGTACCATCCATTTCTTTTAGTTTTCTGGTAAAGGGGGCAACTGCTTATGAAGGCAATTAGCCACCCACTCCATATCCTCCTATTCCTGACTCTTCTTCCACTGTTGTTCCAGGTGAATAGAGACCAACTGTTGTGCCTTGGATGGCCTTTTAAGACCCCAGGCTCTATGCATTGACCTAAGAGGTAGACCAGAAGCACTACATGTATTATTAGGCCAATTAACTGGGTTGTTCCATGAAACCCTAACTCTAAACCTCCAAATGAAGGAGCTAAATCCCATGAGGTGTCTGGCTGTACATAAGCAACCTCAACACCTACATTTTTTTTGGGGGGGGGGCGGGGTTACTGTTGCAAATATACTTATCTTACAACCAATTATGGAAGTGGGAGCCAGGGCCAATGGCCGGAACAGGTAAGAGGAGAGCCCCCAGGCAGGAAGTGGGAGCTGGCAGATAGCCAGAACAAAGAGAAGGAAGGCCAGGAAGTGAGCAAAGTGGTTTGGAACAACTAAGGGAGAAGAACCTGTCTGTCAGTTTGTCGTACGGTGGTAGCTTACATGTTGCTATGAGGCTGGAGGCTGTGCCATCAGTGTTTCCAACGCCAGCAAGGTTGCCCATGGCAGACAGGTTTCAGCAGAGCTTCCAGGCTGAGAAAGACTCAGAAGAGGCGGCCATCCATTTCTCAAAGAATTGGCCAGGGAAAACCTTATGGATAGCAGTGAAACACTGATGTATTACTGGACAACTTTATGAATGGCCCTGAAACAATGTCCGATACAGTGCCAGAAGATAAGCCCCTCAGGTCGGAAGGCACTCAAAATACGACTGGGAAAGGGCTGCCTCATCAGAGTAGAGCTGACCTTAATGATATGGATAAAGTAGGGCTTTCGGGACCTGCATCTGCTGATATGGCATGACTCAAAATGAAAAGAAACAGCTGCAAACATCCATTAATAATCAGAACATGGAATGTACAAAGTATTAATCTAGAAAAAATAGAAGTTGTCAAATATGGAACGTAACACATAAAGACTGATATCCTAGTGAGCGGAAATGGACTGGTTTTGGCCATTCTGAATCAGAGAACCATATGATCTACTATGCCAGGAATGACAAATTGACAAAGAATGGCATGGCATTCATCATTACAAAGAATGTATCAAGATCAATCCTGAAGTACAACGCTGTCAGTGATAGGATAATATCCATACATCTACAAGGAAGGTCAGTTACTATTACTATTATTCAAATTTACACACCAACCACCAAAGCCAAAGATGAGAAAACTGAACATCTTTACCAACTTCTGCAGTCTGAAATTAACCGAACGTGCAATCGAGATGTGCTGATTATCACTAGTGACTGGAATGCAAAAGTTGGAAACAAAGAAGAATCACCAGTAATTGGAAAATTTGGCCTTGGTGATAGAAATAACACTGGAGATCACATGACAGAATTTTGAATGACCAATGACTTATTCATTGCAAATACCTTTCTTCAATAACACAAACAGTGGCTATACATGTGGACTTTGCCAGATGGCGTACATAGGAATCAGACTGACTACATCTGTGGCAAGAGGTGATGGAAAAGCTCAGTATCTTCAACCAAAACAAGGCCAGGAGCTGATTGTGGAACGGACCATCAACTGTTCATATGCAAGTTCAACTTCAAGTTGAAGACAACTAAAACAAATCCATGAGGGCCAAAATATGACCTTGAATATATCCCTCCTGAATTTAGAGACCGTATAAAGAATACATTTCATATATCGAACACCAATGACCCAAAACCAGAGGAATTGTGGGATGACATCAAGAACATCATCCGTGAAGAAAGGAAAAGGTCATTAAAAAGACAAGAAAGGAAGAAAAGACCAAAATGGATGTCAGAAGAGACTCGGAAACTTGCCCCTGAATGAAGGGTAAAGAAAATGGAAGAAATGACAAGACAAAACTGAACAGAAGATTCCGAAGAGCAACTTGAGAAGACAGTCAATTATTATAATGAAATGTGCAAAGACCTAGAGTCAGAAAACCAAAAGGGAAAAACACACTGGGCATTTCTCAAGCTTAAAGAACTGAAGAAAAAAATCAAGCCTTGAGTTGCAATACTGAAAGATTCTATGGGCAATATATTGAATGATGCAGGAAACATCAGAAGATGGAAGGAATACACAGAGTCACTGTACCAAAAAGAATTGCTCAATGTTCATTCATTTCAGCAGGTGGCATATGACCAAGAACCAATGGTATTGAAGGAAGAAGTCAGAAGTTAGAAGCTGCACTGAAGGAACTGGCGAAAACCAAGGCTCCAGGAATGGACAGAATACCCATTGAGATGTTTCAACAAATGGATGCCACGCTGGAGGCACTCACTCGACTATGCCAAGAGATCTGGAAAACAGCTACCTGGCTGACTAGAAGAGATCCATATTTGTACCCAATTCCAAACAAGGGTGATCAAACAATATCATTAATATCGCATGCAAGTAAAATCTTACTGAAGATAATTCAAAAATTGTTGCAGCAGTATATTGACAGACGACTTCCAGAAATGTAAGCTGGATTCAGAAGAGGATGTGGAATGAAGGATAATCATTGCTGATGTCAGATAGATCTTAGCTGAAAGCAAAGAATACCAGAAAGATATGTGTCTGTGTTTTATTGACTATGCAAAAGCATTCAACTGTGTGGATCATAACAAATGATGGATAACATTGAGAAGAATGGGAATTCCAGAACACTTGATTATACTCATGAGGAACCTGTACATAGACCAGGAGGCTGCCATTCAAACAGAACAAGGGGACACTGTATGGTTTAAAATCAAGAAGTGAGTGGGTCAGGGTTATATCCTTTCATCATACTTATTCAATCTGTATGCTGAGCAAATAATCTGAAAAGCTGGACTATATGAAGAAGAGCGTGGCATCAGGATTGGAGGAAGACAACCTGCAACATACAGACAACACAACTTTGCTTGCTGAAAGTGAGGATGACTTGAAGCACTTACTGATGAAGATTGAAGACTAGAGTATGGATTACACCTCAATATAAAGAAAACAAAAATCCTCACAACTGGACCAATAAGCAGCATCACAATACATGGAGAAAAGACTGAAGGTGTCAAAGACTTCATATTACTTAGTTCTACAATCAACACCAATGGAAGCAGCTGTCAAGATATCAGAAAACATATAGCATTGGGCAAATCTGCTGCAAAAGACCTCTTTCAAGTGCTGAAGAGCAAAGATGTCCCCTTGAAGACTATGGTATGCCTGACACAAGCCATGGTATTTTCAATCGCCTCATATGCATGTAAGAGCTGGACAATGAATAAGGAAGGCCGAAGAAGAGTCAATGCTTTTGAGTTGTGGTGTTGGCAAAAGAATACTGAAAGTACCATGAACTGTAAGAAGAACTAACAAATCTGCCCTGGAAGAAGTGTAGCTGGAATGCTCCTTGGAAGCAAGAATGACCAGACTTCATCTCACCTACTTTGGTCATATTGTCAAAGGGACCATTCCCTAGAGAAGGACATCATGCTTGGTGAAGTGGAGAGTCAACAAAAAAAGGGAAGGCCATCAATAAGATGGATTGACACAGTGGCTACAACAATGGGCTCAGGTACAGGAAGGATCATGGGGCTGGCAGAGGACTGGGCAGTATTTCATTCTGCTGTACATAGGGTCACTATGAGTCGGAGACAACTCAATGGCACCAAACAACAACAACAAAACCAATTAAACTTTTTACAGGTGTACAACATATTGACAGCAAATCAGCTATGCAACCTTACCTTTAATCAATGTGCAGTTTTTCTATTACCATAAACCTAAAGTCTATAAGCAGTAATGGGAGCTCTGGTAGCATAGTGGCTAAGGCACTTGACTGCTAACCAGAAGGCTGGCGGTTCAAACCCACCAGCCACTCCTCGGAAGGAAGGTTGGGCAATCCTACTTCCGTAGTGATACTGCCTCGGAAACCCAAGGAGGGGTCGCTATGAGTCAGGGCTGACTCGACGGCACATAACAACAACAACAACATAAGCAGTAATAGCCCATCTATTGCCTCTTGCCCTGGTAACCACTAATGAACTTTGGTCTCTATACATTAGTCTGTTCTTGTCTTTTTTGTATAAGTGAGGTCATACAATATTTGTCCTTTTGTGATTGACTTATTTCACTCAGCATACTGTCATTCAGATCCATCTATATTATATCATGTATCAAGACTTCTTTCTTCTATGGAATACTATTCCACTGGATGTATGTACCACATTTTGTTTACCCCTCTATCTGTTGATGGGCATTTAGGTTGTTTCCACCTTTTAACTATTGTGAATAGTGCTGCAAGGAAAACTGGTGTACAAGAATCTATTTGTGCTGTGAAGTACTTTAAAGGTACACTATAAGTCCATAGAAAATTATATTTTTATATGTACATATAAAATACACATACATTTGTCCATGAACAGATAGATTCCTGACTTATGAAATATTCAGATTATAATGAACTGTGCTTACAAATCATGTTTATTATATCTTATCATTAGTAATACAAACTATATACAATGTTAAAATATATCTGTAAGTTTACATGTCATTTTTCCAACTTCCCATAGACAAATAAAGATCTGATTTATAAAGAGACTGGTAATAAAAGTCAATAATAAGGCAAACCAAAAAAAAAAAAATTAAAAAAAGAGCTATTTGGCTTTTGTCAGATCCAACTTAAATGAGTTATATGGAGTTACTGGATCAGAACACCATCATAAGTTGTAGACTACATCTATAATGCTACATATTAACAGTCTGAAAGGTTATGTATCAAAATGTTAACACAGCAGTTAACTCCTGGTACTTAAAGGTGCTTAATTTTTCACTTATCTGTATCTTCTAGTTTTTCTTTAAAAAAAAAACAATAAAAGACCATTACCAGTGTAAAAGATAAGTGTTTTTTTTTTTTTTTTTTTAAAAAAAGCAGCTTTGGGAACCAAAACTTGGGTAAAAATGAAAATATCCAAAGAGAAAATTCTGCAGTCAAATCCAACTCCATATAATGTATTTGGAATTTAAAAACTTAAATATAAAATTTCAAAGTTTCTTATAAGGTTCTTTTATTCCATAAAATATGAAAACAAAAAAATAGAAATAAAAAAAATGTCTGCAGCAGGCCTCAAGGCCAATCTGAATTAAAATAACAGATTCTGTGACAAATGACTTTACAATGTAAATGGTAATGTTGATTCTGAAATATACATCAACATGCAAAGGACCCAGAAAGCTGAATTTTGAAAAAGAAGAATAGTTAGAACACTCACACTACATTCCAAAACCTACTCTGTAACTAAGTACTCAAGAGGACATGGTATTAGCATAAAGACAGACAAATAGATCAATGGAACAGAATAAAATCTAGAAACACCCACATACATATGGTCAATTATTTTGACAAAGATGTTAAGACAATTTAATGAGGAAAAGAAGAGCCTTCAACAAATGGTAATGGAATAACTGGATAAACATATGGGAAAAAAATGAACTTTGAACTACCTTCTGCCATACACAAAAATTAATTCAAGTTGGATCATAGAAATAAATTTAAAACTATGTAATTTCTGGAAGACAACGTAAGAGAATATCTTTGTGACCTTATGGTAGGCAAGGATTTCTCAGCAAACACACAAAAAACATCAACCATAAAAGGAAAAAATTGATCAACTGAACTTTACCAAAATAAAAATTACCCGGCCATCAAAAGACATTATTTAGAAAATGAAAAGACAAGTCACACAGGGCCTCATTTACTCTGAGATCTGAAGAACTAGATAGTGCTCACCTACCACGACCAACTGCTCTGATCAGAGGGCCATGACAGATGGATCCTGATAAACAAGAAAAACGTGGAGCAGAACTCAATTAAATTGTCAAAAAATCCATATTTATTGGACCAGTTGAGACAGGAGGACTCCCAAAGACTATCACACCCTGGGAAAGTTTTTAAATCTTGAAATGAAACTGTCCCAAGGTTACCTTTTAGCTAAGTATCAGACCGAAAAAACCAAACTCACTGCTGCTGAGTCAGTCCCGGCTCACAGCAACCCCTCCTTGGCTTCCAAGGTAGTATCTGTACCAAAGTAGATTGCACACTTTCTTCCAAGGAGTGGTTTGTGGGTTTGAACCACCAGCCTTCTGGTTAGCAGTCAAATGTCTTAGGCACTACGCCACAATAAAGAATATAATCCCTGAGTACTGCACTTCTTTAAAAAATCATCTGTATGAGACCAAATAGTTAACAATCACTCTAAAGCAAAGATGAGGGCAGAGTAAGTAGATTACTGGAAATGGAACCAGAATGGAAATGATGAGAAGGTTGACACACTGTATAAAATGTAATGAATGCAAATGAACAAATTGTATAGAAATTGTTAAATAGGAGCCTAAGATGTTGTGTAAACTCTCACCAAAAACACATTAATAACAATAATAATAATAAACTATATAGTTAACATATGACCTAGCAATTACACTAAGCATATAGTCAAGAGAAATGAAAGCATATTCATACAAAAACATGCACATAAATGTTTACAGTAGCATTAGTCATGACAGTGAAGAAGAATAAACTACTCAAATGCCCATCAATTGGTAAACAGATAAATAAAATGTTGTCTATTTGTGTAACAGAATATTACTCGGCAATAAAAAGAAATGAAATACCGATACATACTCCAAAAGAAAGAAAACACAAATCATACGGCAGGAGAAAATATTTTAACACCTATGGTACCATAGTGCCTAAGGCACTTGACTGCTACGCAGAAGGCTGATGGTTCAAACCCACCAGCCACTCCTCGAAAGGAAGGTTGGGCAATCTACTTCGTAGTGATACCACCTTGAAAACCCAAGGAGAGGTTGTTATGAGGCGGGTCTGACTTGAGGGCACATAACAACAACAAACATACCTGATGAACCTGTATTTGTATATATAAAAAAACTCCCTTTACTCATTAATAAAAAGACAATACAATCCAATTTAAAAACTACTGAAAGATTTGAACACTTCACAAAAGCAAATCTACAAGCAGTCTATAAGTCTGTGAAAAACTCATTAGAGAATTTCATCAGTCAAAGAAATTCAAATTCACACTCACTACGATAGCTAAAATTAACAAGAGTCATGACATTAAGCGTTAGCAGAAAGGTAGAACAACTCACAAATTTCTGATGAGTATAAACTGGTACAATTTTGGAAAACTATTTGACAGTTTCTTATGAAGTTAAATATGCATCAACCGTAAGACCCAACAATTCCACTTCTTGGTAATTACCCAAGAAGGATGACAATATATGTCCACAAAAAGACTTACAGAAAAATATTCATACCAGCTTCATTCTTAATAGCCAAAAACTGGAAACTCAAAAGGAAAATGGATAAACAAATCTTGATTTATTCACACAACAGACTAGTCTACTCAAAAAATCAAAGAGACAGAATGAACTACTAATACAAACAACATAGATGAATCTCAAAAAAAAGTTTCGTTAAAAGTTCTATTGAGTGAAAGACCAATACACAAAAAGGATATATGTTACATGGTTCCATTTATATAAAATTTAACAACAGGCCAACAAAGAAATCAGAACAGAGGTTTCCTATAGCGGGTAGGGACTGACAGGATGACAATGGGAAAGCCATGCCTTATATTTGGTCTCAAAAGGTAGCAGTGAGATTCCAAATATTAACCACCATAACCTAAGGAACATTAATATAAGTCAAAAATAATAAATACCATGGGTAACGATAACTAACTTTATTGTGTTCTGTATTGCCAAAATATAAACATGCTTTAGCTACAAATAATTCACAAAGCTACAGAACCCCCCTATTAATGCAAGGCATGAAGTCATCAAGTTGGTATTTCTCTCACCTACAATTCCTGGGGTAACAATCCCAAGGACTTGGCACTGTTTCGGAAATAGTTTCTCAAGGGCAAATGCTGTTTCCATACTAGTTCTTTTCCTTGCTGTAATAATACAGTAACAAAATAATCATGTTATCCACTTAAGGTCAAATCTGACAACGTGAAAATGAAACCAAATATTGGAAAATACTGGATAATTTTAAGTCATCTGACACCAAAATGTTTTACAAGAAAACCTAAAAGCTTTGATTAAACAAATGTTCCTCTCTATTTAGCTTCTGCTTTATATTTTAAATTTTAAAACTAACTTTCAGCATCACTAGTTTGCCTTTCCTCTTTGTTCATATACACACACTCTCATTTATAGACATGGTTAGGTCCCAGGGACCAGGTCATTAGATGAAAATCAGTGCTCTGCGAAAATGGAAGACACCACATCAAATCACGAAATGAAGAATGACTACATCATTACATAACTGCCAAATTACTTCATTACAGAAATGCCAAACCACTGAGAATCATGGTCTAGCCAAGTTGACATAACTTTAACCATCACAGCCAGTGTTATTCTGAACCTCAGTGTTCGTTACTGCCAGACGTACATCACTAATGTGCAAAACAGTCAGACAGTAGACTTTTTACTATTGTCTAAATGCAAACTGACTAAATGAGATGGTCACTATTGTGAAGATGGTATACTTTTGCCCCACTGATGTCAAATTTAGCAGCAGCAACTAAATTTTAAACTTGCTATCATACCTTTCTGTTTAGCTGGTATTACAGCATAACTACTTTTTGGCTGCATAAACAGTCACCTAAATTCAGATTAGATATTGATTACCCATTATGTCTAACTCTGGGCCTACTGTGTCTAGTTTGGGACATTTAGCCTGCTTTTTCTTAGCAACTCAAGAAGGCATATATATTTAATTTTGATAAATGGGACCTCCTAACTCAAACACCATAAAAAGCTCAAATAGACAAAGATATACTTCTTGTTTTAATAATAAAAAAAAGTATCTGGAGGATTTAAAAATGAGAAATTCCTTCTTAAGAATTGGTTTCAATTGTACTTTAAAAAGCAATCTTCAGAGCAAAATGGGTTCCTCAAGATTCAAAGACAGATTTATTTGTGCATACTGTTGGGAGCAGGGCCAGAGCCTCAGAAAGTCATTAACTCTCACTATTTAAAGGAGCTCTAGTGGCACTGTGGCTAAAGCACTGGGTTGCAAATCAAAAGATTGGTGGTTTGAACTCACCAGCAGCTCCATGGGATAGAGATGAGGCAGTCTGCTTCCATAAAGATTTATAAAGATTTATAGCCTTGGAAACAGTTCTGCTCTGTCCTATAGGGTCACTATGATGGCAGCAGGTATTAACAGTACAATATTTAACTCCATATAGAAGGCATATAAGGAAACAAACAAACAAAAAGAAACCTTTTTCTTTGAATATTCACCTCTCTTGTGGCCAAGAAATTCTTCCAGACTAATAAAAGTTTCTGAATCTGCCATGTAGAGAACTGTCTGTGGTAAGACGTGAACATTCTGCAAAGAGAAAAATGGCATTGGATCACATGAATCTGAGTGCTCTCATGGTCCCCAAAACATCTCCCTGGCAACAAGTGCTGTTCCCCTACATTCCTTCAGGTCAACTTTAATCTTCTAAATCCATCTATTCTCATCTCCTTTTCATTCATTTTCTGCTAATTCAATTATCGAGTGTCTATTAATCCATCCAAGGAGCCCCGGTGGTGCAATGGTTAAGCACTAAGCTGCTAATCTAAACATTACACCAGTGGCTCTACAGGAGAAAAGATCTGGCAACCTGCTCCAGTAAAGATTACAGTCTAGGAAACCCTATTGGGCATTATCCTACTCTGTCATACTGGTTTGCCATTATGAGTCGTAATTGATTCGACAGCACACAACAGCATCATTCTTTCAAGTAAAATACATCCCAGTCCTCAACAAGCTCATTTTCACAGTGATAACAATTTAAGCTCCTAAACCAAAAAAAACTTTTAAGTACCAGCAGTCTGTCGTACTGTTGTGGCTTGCATATTGCTGTGTGGCTGGAGGCTATGCCACTGGTATTTCAAATGGTAGACAGTCCTCAGAAGTTTCCAGACTAAGACAGACTGGGAAGAAGGAAAAGGGCTGTTCACTTCTCAAAAAATTACCCAGTGAAAACCTTATGAACAGCAGTGAAAAACTGTCTGATATATTACTGGAAAAGTTTATGAACAGCCCTGAAACACTATCTGATATACTGCCAGAAGACGAGCCCCTCAGGTTGGAAGGCACTCAAAATAAGACTGGAGAAGAACTGCCTCCTCAGATAGAGTCGACCTTAATGATGTGGATGGAGCAAAGTTTTGGGACCTCCATTTGCTGATGGGGCACAACTCACAACGGGAAGAAACAGATGCAAACATCCATTGAATCTAGGAAAACTGGAAGTTGTCAAAAATGAAATGGAATGCATACAGCTTGATATCCTAGGCGTTGTTGTTGTTGTTGTGTGCCGTCGAGTCGGACCCAACTCACAGCGACTCCTCCTTGGGTTGCTGAAGTAGTTATCACTACAGAAGTAGACTGCTCAACCTTCCTTCTGAGGAGTGGCTGGTGGGTTTGAGCCACCAGCCTTCTGGTTAGCAGTCAAGTGCCTTAGGCACTATGCTACCAGAGCTCCTATCCTAGGCATTAGTGAGCTAAAATGGACTAGTATTGGCCATTCTGAATCAGATAATCACATGATCTACTACACTGGGAACAATAAATTAAAGAAGAATGGCAGTTCTGGCAAGATGGAGGACTAGGCAGAAGGACTGCACAGATCCTCTTCAACAAAGAAAAGGGAAACCAATTGACACAGACACAGAAGATAATCTTGGACTGCTGAGCCTTGAAGGGAAGGATGCAGAAGTAGACTAAACCCCAACTAGCAGAAGAATTTGCGTGAAAATACCAAAAAAGGAGACATACGGAGCTGCGGTCTGGCAGGGACCCGAACGCCCCTGATGCCACAAATGGCTTGGAATTCCCAAGTGGTGGTAGGACCTAAAAATTAACCTAAAAATCACCCTGCTAGCCAGGGACTGCACGGACTGTGCACGGTGGATGGGGAACAAACAGAGAAAGTGAAGAGAAAGGTGGGCTGAGTTGTAGACTTTTGCCGGTCCGGAGGACACCGCCATTCTGTAGGTTTAAAAAGCGGCTTGACTATTTTGGATATTTAAAGAGACAGCGCTCTCACAGATATGTGGTGGTAGGACTTAACAATTAACCTAAAAATCACCCTGCTAGCCAGGGACTGCACCGAGGACGGTGCACGGTGGCTAGGGAACAAACGGAGAAAGTGAAGAGAAAGGTGGATTGAGCTGTGGACTTTTGCCAGTCCGGAGG